AAAACATTGAGGATTGACTTCATTCTTCAATAAAGACAATATTAACGTTTATGGGCCGATAGAATGTACCGTAAACAACTCTACGCCTATACCAAATGAGGTTTCCAACCAAATCAATCGGCGAATGCTGAAACAACTGGGAAATCCAAGCAAAATGATAAATCATGCTCCGAAGCGAGTTTTTCTGAAAGCAATTGTTGGTTGCAGTATGATGGTAATAAAATGACTTGCACAGTTTGTATAACTGAAAATAAAGACAATCCATTCACATCGGGATGTACAACTTTAGAGTTTTGTAGTACCGTATGGTACTGGTTACGGGAGTTGACGGAAGTTCGGAATTAGTGTGTTAGGCTTGACTGCTAACAGTTGGGCGCCATGTTAGTGTAATTTATAACTAGAATAAGTAGGCAATTCGTCGCCTAACTCTAAAAGTGTCCTATGTCTAGTTTTGCAAAATTTGAGATAAATGAACCATTCTTTTTACCTTACATTGCTCTATCTGTTAAGCTTTCGGTTCAAGGTTATGATGACCTAGAAACGGAGTTACCGAGTATGAACTTTGCTCTATGTCCACATTTCGCATGATTGTTTTATCCTTATAGTAGGGTATGTACGTTACTTAGAACAATTTAATAGTGAAACCTGAAATAAGCCAATCAAAACACGAACTGATGGTCATGTGACCTTGGTCGTTTTCGCAATGATAGTGCGCTAAGTCAAAACTTCCGGTAGAGAATTTTCTTGCCAATATTTTTTTGTAATGCCATTTATTTTGTTTCCAAGCAAGATAAAGTATTAATATGTGAGTAAATTAATCTAAAATATATGTACGTGTAACTGCAATTTGCTTTTTTAATGTCGAATGCACTGTAATCTCAGAATTTCAAGAAGTTTTGCAAAACCTAGTAAATACATTTCGGATAAACAATATTTCGGATACATAAATAAGTAAATTAAAGTTAACAATTTCATTTTATGCTTAAATCACTGATATTTTAAACTACTTAAATTTAAATATCATTATAGGTTAAACCTCGTGTTGTTGCCCGACGGCGTCCTCATACACATTTTGGGCTATATCGGCATTCAAGATCTGTTGACAAAAGTGAACAAAGTTTGTAGAAAAATAACGACTTGATAAGCAATTGTCAAGACTTTGGTGTTATTTTGAGATTGATTATCCTATTATGTCACTGCTCTCTGGACAAAGTTTGATATAATGTTATATGGAATGAACAAATCGCTGGACGGGGATCTAATAAACTTGCTAGTGCTGTAACTGTTATCTTAGAAAACGCTTTGAAGGCTCATCCTCATGTTAAGAAAATGACGTTGTGGTATGATAGTTGTGTACCACAAAACCGCAACAGCATGATGACACCTGCTTTATAACTATTTCAACAAAATTATCCTGAAGTGGTTGAAATTGTTCAGAAATTTTGTACTCCTGGATATTCCAGTATTCAGGAAATTGATAACATTCACTCACATACAGAGAAAAAGCTGAAAGTTTCAGAAATTTCAGTCCTCTAAGTCTAATTAGAAATCGTCAGCAAGTCCGTCCGGATAAAACCGTAATCATACAACTAAAATGACGTGCTTTTTGACTATCGAGCGGTTGCAGAGAAATTCACATTTAACTCTGTCCCATTTACAAGAGTTAAAGCATTGAAATATGTTTGTTTGTTTGTTTGTCTCATTTTACGCCTTTTTCAACAGTATTTCAGTCATATAGGCGGGTAGTTTCCTAACCATCGTTCCTGGAGAGTTACACCAGTACTAGACAACCTTCCTCCGCGCTAAGCTACCAAAGCATCTCCTGGGGATCGAACCCACGCCAGAGAGGTACCTGGATTAGAAGTCATCGACTCTAACCCCTCGACCACGGAGGCGGTTTAAAATATTTGAACGAATTGCCGTTTCAAGTGTTTTTTAAAGAGTCATTTGATGTCCAGTACACAGAGGCGACAGTTCTAAGGACAACAAGTTTATCTTGTAAAGTAGACTTACTTCCTTTGCCTCAAATTCTAAAATGTGGAAAGGGTTTGTCTGATGACAAGAAAAAATATATAGAAACCATGCTACGATTTATGCCGACAGAGGATAGCATGTTCATGAAAAGTCTGTGCAAAATATAAACCTTTATAAGTGCAAGTGCTATAGTATTACGCAAACAGACATAATAAGAATTTGATCATGGTATTATTCTATAACACAATTTATCAAATACTCATCTACATCTACATGTGATTAATATTATGTTTGAGAAATTTACTAAATTCAATGCTATGATGAGACATCGGAATATATTTTCTTTTTTGATGTTGTACTTTGGCATCATGTTATTGTTGAATTTATGTTTAAAACTGCAAGCCACATGAACAGCTGATTTACGTTTAATATTAATGACTACTACATGGCAGATTTGATGAAGTACCTTGGCAACAGGTTTTCTTACATTGTTAAAAAAGTAAATAACATTTTAATAATGTTAATCTTAGTCCATTGAAAAAATGTTAGATAATAAAAAAATCAAATTGTTCATGATTTTTTTCACGGTATGACGAGACGTTGTTTTATGTTGTTGTTTTTTTTGTTTAATACAGACATTTTGCATTAATGTCAGTTGTATAATTATGTTAATACGTACAGATTGAGATTTTGCAAAGTAACATGCTGTAAATGCAAATATAAAGACAATTTTATACCTTTTATATGATGTATATCTACATGTATATTTGTCTATAATCAAGATATGTTTCTTTGTTACTTAATTTACGATTTTATACAGTATTTATGTTTAAGATATCAATTTCTATTTGTCTTGACAAGAAGTCATATTTATTAATGTTACAAAAGTTATGATAAACAGTTATAAATTGTTTAACTTGTTGTGACTAAATATCTGGGGACCAATATCATAAAGTCTTATCACTTTAGGTTTGATGCATTACGTTACGTTGAGGTCGGTTTTCTGAAATTATTTTCCCTTCACTTAATTAGCAAGTTTTATACTATTATACAAAGAAACATCCAGTCACATCCAGATGCAAAATGTTTAAAGTCGTTTTTCTCAAAATAGCATTTTGGCAGTTAGGACATTTTAAGAGTAAGCCGACGAATTCCTAGCTTGGCTACGATCCAGACGTGGAAGGTAACTCGATTGTTGGTATTGTCTACCAAAGCTCCATAATTTTACCGATTGGGCTTGAATTTGCCCTCAAATAAAAAGTTTGTTGTCCAATACTGTAAAAACCTTACATATTTTGCATCTGACATTTTGTGTATTCATTTACAAAAGTTATAAAGAAAAAATGTTCCATCAAAATAAATCCTGATGTAGTGGTCATTTATCAGGTCTAGGATTTCATGTTATTTATGGACTGTTCGTAAATTTTGAAAAGCTAGAAATTTAAAGATTTTTCAAACCATAAATTTACAAATGTAAACTCAATGTGAAATTTGCTGTTTTTAGTTTAACACTAAAATCCGCAGCTTCTGACTAGTTTTTTTATTGATTGTTTATATTTACAAACGTAATGTGGTGAGTTTCATCTTTGTATGATGATTTTGGAATATTTAATAAAAGTGAAAATTAAAAGTCATCATATTGTTTTGAATCTTACCATACTGTTACATTTAATCATATAGCATGTAACCTTATAAATTTTAACCTGTGGTTTTGAATTTTAATACAACTTCTACTATTTTCTTACTTAATGTCTGTAATTTCACAGATACAAAAATCTGTAAAATTATGGCTTGTCCAAAAATTTACAGACTGTCGGTAAATATCATAAAATCCTAGACCTGTTTATTCTGCATTATTTTATTCTACATAATCTCATGGGAACACACTTGCAACATATTTATTTTTAATAAAGCCTCCAAAATATTAGAGCAAAAAATTTCAATAATTAGAAGGGCAAGTTAAAGTTGAGCTGGACTGGTCTTTCATCAAGTTCTTTTGAAAAATAACACTAGAAAAACAGTTGTTTCTGGTGAGCGACTCAGGGCCATCATGGCCCTCTTGTATTGTTTTTCACAACCACAACATTCTTAAAACTGAGTAACAAATATGTAACAGAAAGCATCATCAATCTTTTGTAATCCTTTTGAAACTATTTCAATAATGTTGTCACACAAACTCCCTTAGCAGAACAAGCTTTTTTTCAGAATATATGAATATAACGCTATAAACAAGGGAAAGCGACGTCCAGTGAACATATTTCTGGGGAGTTATGCCAGAATATACAAAAACTTTCCCCAGTCACTAGTATTGACAGATCAACAAAAAGTTATAGAGAAATTCCGACTCAAACCGACCAAATTGGAATGACATCTTTATAAATTACAACGCTTGAAGAAAGGTAACCATAATTTGTTTCAATATTTTGATTCGGTTGTTTGTAGAAGATGTCTTTGTTTGCCATGAATGCGACATAACTATAATGAAGTTGATGCGGGCTTGTAGGACTCGAGAAATAAAAAAGTGCTAATTTCATAAGATTCAGTGCAATTACTCCTAATAATGAGAAACCTCTATTGTGAGAAGGTTTGCGATATGTCTAAAAGATATTGAGAATGATATAATCCCAATATACACCCAAATTTAATTATAGAGGTTATGATTTAGAAAGTGTAAAATGAATCTTTGGTTTTGTTTTTGGGTTCTTGCACGCTGAAAAATGTAATAAAAGAATCAATAGTGGAAAGTTAGTTGTGATCAAATTGCATGTAACTATCAAAATTTCGGATAATAAAGCTGTGAGGCGAATGGTACGTATTTCAGTAAGTGTATTGTCCTCACGCCAACATTGACTTTTCTAGATGTAATATCTTATGTTAAAAAGAAATTATGCGTTGAACCAAAGCCACAAAACTCCCACCACCACACTGTTAAGCGGCCTGCATAAGTTCATTTCAATAAGTCTATAATAGGCATAGTACTTGGACAATTTTAGTTTGAAATAAATATTCTGAAGCTTAACTGTTACCTCTCAACGGCGTTGTTTCACTTGTCTCTTTTGCTTCCTGAGGCGGAGAATCTGCTTCTGCATATTTTACTAATCTGCGTTCTTTTTTTGGCAAGTATTCATTCATTCCAAATAGTTCGGCTTCTGAACGGTCTTTATTAATCTTGCCTACAAATATAATCTTTCAAAGGAGTGACAAATTAAAGAATCTATGTACGCTAACATTTCTTTTGCTAAAAACGTACGGATACTTGTACGGTCAAAGGAAGGAAAATGAATGTTTCGTGATAATTCATGCAACACATTTAAATGCATGTAAAGGCTATTTTGACATTACTTTTTATTACTTTATATGTATATAAATGAAAAAATCAAAACGAAGAATGGGAAATATGGGAAGCCAGATCAAACCAGTGGCTTATCTGTAAAAATACTCTAAAGCTTTTTTTTTTAAATTGAAGATTCAGTGGAACCTGTCTAATCCGAACTCTTCCGGGCCAGAAGAAAAGTTTGGATTAAAAAGGGTTTCGGATTAGAAGGATTCTCAAGGGAGACACAGGCAAAATTTTCATTTCTTCGTTTTGATTTTTTCATTCATTACTCTGTCAATGTCCTCTAAATCAATAAACCAGGCGTCATAGGAACAAAACTTTTATCCTTATAAAGAATAAAAATCTGGTTTCCTAACTTGACTAGCGTGGGTCAGGTTAGAGCGTTAAGATATCACATAAGTTCCCACTATGAACTATTGAATCGTTAAAGAACATATCAAATGAATGACTTAGACTTGTAAAATCTTTTACGCATGTTAAAATGAGACACTTGATAAGAATATTGCTTACTGTGATAAGTATCAAAAACTGCATTACTGACTTTTTATCGATTTTATAAGTTATAGAAATTTCTTTTGCATGCCCTAAAAATCGATAAATTTATACTAGGTATTTCAATTTTGCAAAATGTATTATTGTAGTTGTTCTTTTCTTTTCCTCAAAAAAAAAATAAAAATAAAAATCAAACCTTTTACCGTGTCATTCTCATCGCCATCGTAGCGGTAAGTTCTTTGACACTATTAGTCAAATTCAATCAGTTTGTATGTAATCATAGAATAGCAGAGAAGGAATATTTAAAACAAGCGTACATAATTTGAATTTTAAAAAAAAGAGAATGGAATTGTAAACAAAACTATGTTCACCGTTGAACTGTTTTTATTCATCTGCGCCTTCAAAATTAGTTTTTCACTTTTTTAAGATATTTTCAAAGAAACATTTCTCAAAAGCAAGCATACAAGCATACCAATACCTTACACATTGCCAAGGATTTTACGTTTTTCAGTTATTCTGCAAATTTTAGAGAAAATACATTTTTCTATTCTTAAACGGATACATATATCGTATGTTTGTTCACAAATGGGCAATGCTTGATGGCAAATTAACAATTACTGCCGTATGAACACATCTAAGGATGTTTCTTTACTCATTTTTTACCACTTTCTATGTTTAAATGTTGAATTCTGCTTAAGTCGGTAACTTGCACTTTCCAGTCCATGATCAGGCTTAATATAACCGAGCCTTTAAAATGGTTTTAATTTGCTATCGTTATCTATTAAACATCAAAAGTTTTTTTATTACTACACATCTTACACATCTTAATAAAATCAGGACAATATTGATCAGTAAGGTGATAAAGATATGATTTTATTACTTTTTTGAGAACGAGTCATGTTTTGTATGTCGCTAACCCTAAAAGACGTCAGTATTGGCGCTATCATTTTGAAATTGACGTCACGCAGGGAAAAAAATATAATTTTTTAATTTGAATATTATTATTGGCTTTCTGAAAAAGAAATGCCTAGATACACATTGTACATATATATTTATTCATCGAGAAATATGACATTTATTTAGATGTTTTAACTATTTTTATTTATTTGAAGATGAAATATTCACATTTGGTAGGACAGAATATTAATATTGATTTGTATCAAAAGCTTAGATGAAAAGCGTTTATATTCAGTTGAAAAGGTATTGCATGGAAGTAAGTTTGTTGTGGATGTTATAATGAACAGAGTGGTTTGTAATCTTTTGATGTAAAAAATACGAGTATCGTATTATAATTGATAATGTTTTTTAGATAAGACGCATCCTCGACCAACGAGGTTCTCGATCGAGAATTGGTTTTTATGCATCTATTGTTTTTACACAAAACAAACGTACATTGCTTTGTTTTTAAAATACATTTATTATACTTCAACGGAATAGTGTTTATGTTGGATCAAAGTTAATGCAGCAGATAATTAAACAGTCAATAGTCTTTGTTTCAATTTTATTCTATGAAAAACTTTTAAGTATATGTTTGTAATTATGCCTATTTTGTCTAACATACATATTTCTGTTTTCAACTTTTTTTAACTTAGTAACATTCCACTATGTTCCACTTGTTTTCCTTTGTTGTATTCCACTATATTTTCAGCAATGCCTAGGTTTAAGAGGAAATGTTGAGACCACATATGTAGACTTAGCATGATGTCCTGTTACCCGGGCTATTTTATAAATAAAGCTGATGATGATTGAGGCTTTCCCTACATCATAGTACATGGCCATATCCATGGGAAATAAATAGAATACATAACAATATAATGAAATATTGTATGATGAAGCATGTGGATGAGCAAAGCAAATTATTAACATGTTGTAACATTCGTGGCATAAAGTGTCTGTCCTCTTTCTTTGTTATCTTTAGGAACTGTTGCAAGAGAAACTAGTGTCGTTATGAAAACGCACAAATCACTGAAAGGACAATGGAAATTGTTTTTAGGGTGGTTTGAAGGGCATTTTGGTTTATACGTAGGGACGCTTCAGTCAGTATTTTCAATACATAACAACCCACAGCCAACACTACGGAATTATATTAAATAAGTAAGAAATTTGTGTGAATTATGTTAATCTTGCTACGAAAAACATAAGGTACGTCGCCTTTGCCTTCCGGCATACATATCTCATCTGTTATAGCCAAAAATCGTTGGTGACATTCATATATTGAAGTTAAGAGTCGCAGAACATTCGCAATACGAGGATATCTTGGTCAGATTGTTGTCAAAACAATGTTGCCTTCCACAAAAAAACATCGACTAAAAATATAAATCAGCTATCCATGTAGCAGGTCAGTAAGAATTAGAAAGACAAAACAATTTTAAAATAGAAACCGCATTACTTTTGAAATTGTGAAAGCTCGCCGATGATCATTTGTGTGAAAGGTTATGAGAAGTTGATAACTTATTCTTATACTTGTCAGAACCTTATTCGTAGCGTTAATAAGGAGCTGATTTTAATCAGATTGAGGACTTTTCTTACATTTGCATGCACTTTTTGTGCAAGTTTTTATTTCATTTTAAAGTGTCATTATTTGTAAAAGGAATGAAAGTTGGGTAAAAAAAGATTCTTAATATTCCAGTTCTTATGCGCTTATTTATGTTGTTAACCCTGTACATAATTGTTTTCTTTCTTTGCTATTACGAAACATACTTTATAATACATACAATCTGGAAAATACAATTTAATCAGAGTAATTTGCAGAGTAATGCGCTTGTAATTGCTGATTTTAAAATTCTCAAAATTTCCAGAACTTTCGATGAATGTATGTAAATACTAATACAATATTATGACAATTAATTACTAATTGTTAATTTATCATGTTTCAATAATGTCTTTCATTTATTGAACACACATAGATATTTAATTAAGTTACCTGTGAAGTTATTATTAATAAAAGAATACAATGTTTCTTTACACAAACTATTTCATATTTTTAAGTGGGGTTTAGTCTATTAGAAGAAGATAAATGGAAATATATTTCATAAAATGATCACGGATGCAATATTTTCACAATTGAAAATATAAAAGCAGCTAGTGTTCACAAATGAATTATAATTTGATGCAAAATAAACTAACTTTATATTAATTTCATTCGTTTTTAATGGTTTTAAGGCATTTTGTTATTTTTTGTCTGCCTTACATCATGCGTCTTACTTTATCACATTATCATCATCTTTATATTGCATAATAAATTTCTGTAGTATTTCACGAATATTTTAATATTAAAGTATGTCTCGTTATATATCACATTTTATTTTTATTTCTCACGCTATTTCCATTTATTACAATACTGCTTTACAATGGACAGTGAAATTATATTTCAAAACTTCACAGTGAAATAGCAAAACATAATTATAACTATATGAAGATGAAAAAAAAAATAAGTAGAAATATCGTAACAAAGACATAGTGTGATTAATTAAGAGACCCACATGAAAACCTGCACATATCATTTTTAAAGTTAAAAAGAAAATTCAACAAGAACAATTTGAGGTCATGATTTGATGACGTCACTTATGAGAGTGTCTGTTGTTAATTGGCAAATATCAGTAAATTGGCTAAAAAACCAACAAAAAACATGAAATAAACATGAAATAAACAGAAAATTTGTTGTCGTTTTTTGTATGCAAGATCAAGATCAAATTATATTTCACTCGTAAACACCATTATTTATATTTTTCACGGAAGCCACTCATTAAAATGTTGTATCTAGTGTTCACACTGTGAAACATATTTTGATCTTACATACAAAACAACCAAATGTCCTTAACATTTATTCATTATGTTTGCTTTTCATCTGGATTAAATATAGTACGGCTACTTTGGACATTATATTTTAATAATTTATAATTTCAGTCTACTGAAAAGCATGTTATAAAAGTATACTCACTAAAAATTACAAACGTTAAAATAGAAGCTGAATAAAGTTTCTGTCTCTTGTTAAAGTATTGTCACAGAACCCTTTTTCTGTAAATTATATTAATGAAATTATAATATATCTTTGCAAATTGGGAAATGTCTAATTTGTGAGTTAATAATTCTCAATAACTTCATGTATTTGTCTTTACCGGTACCTGTTTTAATTAAATATACTAATCAATTTAAAAGACAATAAAAAATCTATAATTGTGCATCACAGCCACAGAAATGCATGCAATGATTTCTTGAATAAAAGTATCATATATCATCATTTCATTATTTGCGGTCATTTATTTTTACATGGTACTAACGCATAATAACAAAAACTTGACACAACGACTTGCCTTTTGCCTCAACATGTTGTTTAATATAAAATCTGCAGATTCAAATTTTAAGAATTAGTGTAAAACAAAAGATACGTAAGAATGAAAATTATCACCTTATTATTGTTTTTGTGTGGTGAATTCAGTAAGGTTACAGTCAAAGTTGCCATCTATTGTACCTACTATAGTTTAGCAGTGTATAAAGTATATTTAATTGTGCAAATATGTAACCATAACAAATTATACTTTCAAATTATCCGCGTTACAATGCAGATGAAACAATAATGTGAGACTGCTGTATGTTACACTTACAATTTCCTCGTGACTCTTTGTTATTATTAATATAGTCTTATCATGTAACTATTTGCTAATTTTTCTACAATTATTGTGTCTACTTGTTAATATAATTACTACTATTTGACTCTTTAAAATAAAAATGTCTTATAAATGTGATTACATGCTATCATTTACTTCAGTTTCAATTAATTGCTTCTTATAATTAGTTATTAGTGAATTCATGCTAGTTTAACTACAATAGAAGATAACATGCTACTATTTAATACAGTATTAAGTGTAACTACTTCCTAAACTACTTGTATTTTAAGTGAATTCATGCTAATATTATTCAATACTATTATCTACTACAGTGTCAAGTGTAACTAATTCCTACTGTTAGTATTACATGCTACTTTAACTACAATAGCACACTACATGCTATTATTTTTGCTACAGTAACAAGTGTACCTACTTCTTACTGTTATTATTTTAAGTGAATATATGATTATTAATACAATAGTATTTTACATGCTATTTATTTTTGCTACATTATCAAGTGTAACTTATTCCAACTATTAGTATTTTAAGTGAATTTTTGCTACTATTAATACAATAGTTTATTACATGCTATTATTTAATACAGTATCAAGTGTAACTAATTCCTACTATTAGTATTTTTAGTGAATTCATGCTTCTATTAATACAATAATGTATAACATGCTATATTTTGCTACAGTATCAAGTTTAACTAATTCCTACTATTAGTATTGTAAGTGAATTCATGCTACTATTAATACAATAGTATATTACATGCTATTATTTAAAACAGTATCAAGTGTAACTTCTTCCTACTAATAGTATTTGAATTCATTAACATATGAATTATTTATTTCTAGATGGTGAGTTACGGTAGCAGAATCGTTAGTCGTTTTTTGCCAAAATTGGTCAGGGGAGACAAATGGCTTGTTCCCCCTCCGAGAGTTATTTCTCTTTGTTCTGAAAAGGTAGCTGCAGAAAAAGCTGCTTGTACGTTGATTATTCCTAAATGGCCACTGTGGCCATTATTAACTGAAGAAAGTAAATGTGGTTTAAAACAGCAAATAAATCTGGTTAGATTTCGAATACTTAAGAAAGGTAGAGGAAATATAAGGTATTCTCTCGTTAAATCTGATACCGTTTAATATGCTTGCCCTGAAGTTAAATGTTATATATTGATAATGTCTTACTTTTATTACAATCATATATTAAAAGTGTACTTAATGGAAGTTTTCTCCTACAGGTCTTGACTTGAGAGATTCTTTAAGGCGGAGCAGGAGGAGGCTGAGATGAGAAATCATCAGTCACGTGACATAGTGAGCAGTATGTACAAATACCTTTTGCACAATTTTCGTCACTTCCGCCCTGGCTTGTTGCCAAACGGGCCTGTAAAAAACAAGAATGCGTCTTTACCTTTCGTAACTTATTTGAAATTACAATATCTTAATACCGCAGTTGTTGCCATGAAATCTGGCAACTGCCCTTTGACTGTGAAATCCAGTCAATATTATTATTTAAGGCATGCACTTAGTTCTTTTGGCATATAATCTGTCTCATCGTTTTGTTTGTAACACTATAAGTAAATGTATATTTGTGTATTTATAAAAAATGTGAAATCCATTCCTGTATAGATCGTGTTATATTACTTATTACTAGAGTGTCCCAGAATCTGCATTATCAGTATATCAAAAAGTGAAGTTTCATGCACATGACTTAATGTCAGTATACTTATTACATGTAATTCGGTCGATCCTCGTTCTTGTTTATTTATATTTCTGCTCAGGGTTTTTTTGAATTGAAGGCATCGAATCTACTTTCATAGTCAACAATGTGACATTGAATTCCAATTCAATCATTTTCATACGATTTCTTTTATCATTGATATAATCTAGGAAATTATTTAATTTAATCGCATCTATTTATTTTTTTTTCTATTTTTTTTTTATAATAAAATCTTACCTCATCAACATTGTCCATCTCAAGTTATTCCAAAATAAAACTCAAACTTATAAACAAATTATCACTGGTGAAGTTGAAGCTTTGTTATGACCAAGCTAGGTGGTTGTTGCTGCGTCGGTATATTGTGGGGCCCATACGGGATATTATCTGTAGGATGAAATTGTTGTCTTGTCCTTACCGTGGTAAAAAGACTGGATTGGTCAGTTTTCTGCTCGACTGCGTCGGAGTTTATATAGTCACACGGCGTGACTCATATTCAGTTTATATCGAGTTATTTACAGAGGACAGACATTGTCTCTACAAATTCAAATTTAGCCTATCGAAATATTGATGACTTTGTAATAGCATCATGAATATGGTTTTTAAAGCATTATTAGTTGATATTTGTAAACTTTGTATGCATGTTGTAATGTCATGGCTTTACAGAGCAGTGATATTTGTAAACTTTGTATGCATGTTGTAATGTCATGGCTTTACAGAGCAGACGTGATCTAAAATCACCAGGGGTTGATAAGGCGACTTTATGACCGGACAGAGCGTGGGTCCTCCTACGCCCCCTGTTGGTTTGTTGTATTTTTATGCAATATGTAATTCTTCCTGAAGGGTTGCGCATCCACTCGCGGTTAACCTTGTTTGTCGGCATATTGTGATTGTCTGCCACATTTTTTCATGATTGCAACTTTGGAATTTTTGTCAAAGTGTTGTGATTTAGTTTGTTAAAATCCGAACGACTGGTAAATATAACGGAGCACTTACAAGTATTTGTTACTATATATCATAAAATAGATAAATACGGAATCCCTAAAGAAAGCCCAACACGGCAAAATTGAAAATGTTGCAGGCTCGGTTTGATAAATTATATATACATGTTTACGTTTGTACCATGAATATAAGTTGCTTTATATGTCAGCCTTCTTCATGTTGTTTTTCTCAATTATCAATTCTCAAAATGCACAACTGTGTTGTTGTTTTATGTTAAGGTACAGATGAGACTCTATAATATTATAGAATTTACTACATACAAACTTATTTTCTAAAACAGTATTTAGAAATTAAATGGACATGTTTAAAAAAAATGTTTATATATTCTAACTGGGGAATGAATAGTTTTGCAAAATCAATATTCAGCAAAAAGTGGCTTTTCTAGTGCAATACTAGGCTATGTTAATATGTAGGTAATAAAATGCATATTTAACACTTTTCTTGAAACAATAATCATGTACAAAACTTATGTAACCAGTTCGTGTTTCGGTCTTTTCATTTATTTTAAACTTTTCACATTTTATTTTTACAGAGTTGTCTATAACCTCCCTTTCATTGTAAATTTTAGTGATTAGTCAAGCATTTGAATTCCCGCTGTTTGTGAACCAATTATTGTGGTCATGTGATATAGTGTTCACTCTTGCACAAGTCTTAGTACTGAGAAGTCAAAAGGAACTAGCATTGCTGAACTTTATTAATTTTATTATAACTATTTTGGTGTTTCTTGGAAATTGAAGGTTGAGGTTGGTTGGTCTTATTTATTACTATTGATTCATCTTTTTTGATTTACAAATCAGCAATGCTTTATTTGTATTAATTTAGTATTTGTGTAAACATGTATATTAAACATGTACATTGTAATCAAGATGGCAGCTTATATTTCTAATAATTTGGTAACTAGTACATCACTATTTACTATCGTGTATTATCACTTGTCATTTAACCATTTACAGTTAATAGAGCACAGTGAGAGTCATTTAGGAGAGTAACAGAGGTGTATTACCTATAAATGAAACCCGATTCACAATTGGTATGTAAATATATGTATTCTTTGTTTAATTTCATTTAAAGTTGTCAATATGTTCATTAATTATTTTAAGTAAGGACTAAAGATATTTCTAGGCTGGCTGACTTAACCACAGTGTGAATTTATAACATAATATAGTTATATATTAAACTCCTATATCATACATCAATAAATAGATTATGCTTTTGTTATTTAGTAATATGTTTTATTTGTTTAATTTACAGGGTTTCAGAAATATATATATATAAAATCAATCACAGCCTTTCGTTGTATTGGACCCTTATACTGGTTGGTCATCACTTTTATCTATGTATATGGGCTGGAGCCCACCTGGTCACAGATGGCGCCCAACATATTATACAACACCGGACCACTTTGATTTCTTGTACGGGGGAGGAGATATGTTACATATGGAACGGACGGAACTTCAGACCAGTGGAACGATCATGGACTTTGTGTTTTGAGACTATGTATTTTACAGAGACAGTGATTGTTCAAGCAGCCTATTTTGAACATAGGTATTTGCACATGAGAATTGTATATTTTGTGAAAAGTTTCATTTCTGCACCTATATTTTTTTTGACTAGATCTACTTAAATAACATTTTTTTTTCCTTTTGGCTATTTATCTTTTTATGTAAATGTTTAGTTAAGTACATTTTGTTTACATAGCTGCAGATCTGAACTTTTGAGTGTGCTATTGTAAATTGACTGAGAGGAAATCACTATGCATGCAATAATTAATACTACATCCCTGCAAATTCCGGTTTAGGTCATATACTTCACTAAATGTTTTTACCTTAACTTGAGCAACTATATCTCATACTAATTATACATAAGCCACTATCTTGATTACATGTAAAATTTTAGTCTGGTGTAAAATTCTGTTTGTTTACCTCATTGCTCAGGTGTGACCCAAAACATTTATCAGTGGTGACCTACTTTCATTTTAAGAAATTTACATCTGTTTAATTGTATTTATGTTAATTTTTCCTTGATTATTTAATTTTACTCAATTATCAGGTGATACATATCGATTCTAGCAGTTGGCATCGATTGTCTATGTAAACAATCTTTGTTTTCCTTTTCTGTGTACTCGGTGACCTGATATTGTTTACTACACATTCCTTTCTATATTGGGAAATCCCCTTGTCTGGCATATGCAAATTAAGAGCACCTGTTGAATTTTCATTGGTCGATTTTGAAGGTGTGTCTGTGTTGACTCTTTTGATTGGATAACACATTGAAATGACATAGACATGTACAGTTAACCTTGACTATAAAAGCACATGGTTCCTGTTTGTTGACAGGTATTAAGAATTGCAATTTAAGTGAAGTTTAGTATTAATTAAGACTTGAGGAGTATTTGTAGGTATTTAGTGATAGAAGATAAGCACGCTTATGCCTAAATAAACATATTGTAAAGCACAAGTGCATTCAATTTAAGATTTTGTATCAATTATAAAGTTATTTGAAACTTAATGTTTTAAAGCACAATAATTAGTGTCGGATAGAAATGAAAATGACTTAAATGACGTTTTCTTTTCTGGCAGATAATAAACATGAGCAAATTTAATATATTTAATATAAATATTTAAAATAATTTAATTTAAAAATTTTAAATTATAAATTAAGAATCTAAAAGAAATGAAAATGACTTGATTGACATTTTCTGTTCTCTTAGATAATTGATACTCGGTATTTCACGGCGATATTAGTAACATACTTGTATTGTGTATTAGTATTTCTTCAAGTTTACTATAACGGAACATAAAACTTTTGCATCGTGTTTATAAAACTTTTAATTATTACTTATAATTAAATAAATAAATAAATTTAAATTAATTTAATAGAAGACATACACTACATAATTAATAAATAAGTTAAATAAATTTAAACTTGATTATCATTTATTACGATTATAGTTGTATCCTTGATAAAATAATTAATAATTCAGTATTTTATTATTTTTGGTTTAGGACATTTAAACTTTATTTTTTTTAATTATTTTTATTGGTTTAAGTATTTATATTTTCAT